TTAGAGAATTGAACATATTCATTGTTTTATTGTATAATAACCTGCTAAACGTTGCTTTCTTTAAGTCACTCCAATGTGGTGTATCATAGAGTTCGAACTCGTAATCTACCTATCAATATTGCACTGTGCGTCGATGTTAGGCTAAACTTTGTTAGCATAGAACCGGAAGTTCCGAGGCCGCCCTGCTTAACCTATCTACAATTAGAAAAAGGCTAAGTATGCTTATTGCTCCCATAAACTTGATGTTGTCGACAGGTGATCCCCTCCTTGCAATAGCTTCCGCACTTCCCACGTGCTCCTCTCTCACGCCCCCACAACCTTACCTAAGCGAAACGAAGCGAAACTTAAGCGAACTTCCTAAACAGGCAACTCCTCAGAAAACCATCGAACACTGAGCCTCGTTCTCGAACTTGGTTCAGCCAACCACAAGACGAGCGCAACGCCACATAACGCGCGACAGTCAGTGAGAGAGCAAGCGCATTGGGGAACGGCGCTAGTGTTTGCCCTCAAGTTGCTACTGGCTGCTTTATGTTGCTACCTTCGGGAGGAGGGGCCGAGAGGACGGGAGGGGTCGTGTATGGGGAGTTTAGAGCACGTGGCGACGAGCAGAAGATACCGTAGACGGGCACTTGGCGGCGATAGGAGAGAGAAGGAGTTGGGGGCTCGGCATCAAGCCGCACCTCCTCTTTTATATACGGAAATCGTAACTGGAAATACAGCCAATGCAATCCAGGTGCCTGAAAAATGGTATTGAACGACCATTGAAAGAGATTCAGTAGAAAACGACTTCCTAGGACTGGCTGTATCCACCGGTACCAACAAGATCCTGGTGGCTTGAGGATATCTTAACGTGCTCTAGCTTATCTTATTGATCCTCTTCTTTGCAATCTTCATCTTGCCGTCAACCCTATAGATAAATTTAGCACGGAGCTGTTTTTAGGAGAATAGTATCACATACCTCGTAACATCCTCATCAAACATATCCAGCATCTGGTTCTGTAGCACCAGTTCCTCGTTAATCTGCACACCCATCTCGCGCATCCGCCGCGCCACCTTAGCCAAGTCCACAAGATCCTCGTCCTGTTCAGCAATTATCTGCTTTTGCAACTGCAGCACACCTTCGTTGTCCAGCTCCCTTGTCTTTTCAGTCTCCTTAGCCGGCGCACCTAGAACCCTCCCTCTGGAAGATGACCCCTTAAACAGCCCCTCTTTCTTCTCAGCTAGTCCCGGCGCAGCCGAAGGAGATTCCGAACTCGATGCCACAGCGGCCTTCACAGCCATCGTATTCAACACGCTATCTAAGCCATCCCTCTCTTTCCGCGCCGTGCTGATCAGGTCTCTGCGTCTCCTAATCTCACCCTCGCCCAATGTATCTCCTCCCCATTCATCGTACCCCTTGGGCCCTAATCGGTCCAAACCCTCCTCTAGCGCCGATATCAGCGACCCCGCTCTTATGAGTTCTTTCTTAGCATTTGCTGACGCCTCATGCTGTGCCTGCGGCGCAACAGCTTGCTCCCTCCTCGTCAACTGCAACCTCGCCTCTTGTAAACATCCTTTCACACTCGAAAACTTATCCAACCAGTCCGCTGAGTCTCGTACTCTGTCCTTGCCGAACTGTGACCCCGGTAGCGACTCCGCCATATTCTCCTTATTCAGACCCAAGAACTCTAGATATGCCCTGGCTTCCCGCCATCGAGGATCCTCCGATTCCTCTATCGCTTGTAGATATGCTTCCAGCCCATTTCTCCGCTCCTCTATCTGTTGTGGGTTCTGCGCGGTGTTGCCGATGCCTAGTTTACCCAGTGCACCGCCAAGCCAGGATTTTGGTGGTAGAGGAGCGGGTGGGTATGTTCCAGTTTGCGAATGTAGAGTAGAGTGGAGGGCGGAGAAGTCGGAGTAGCGTTTTTGGACTTTGGTTGGGGCTCGTGGGAAAGGGTGGGTTATGCGGATTTCGTACGCAGTGTAGGGTTTAGGGTAGGAGTCAGAAGGCCCGACGGTTGTAGTAGATTCGATCGTTATTTTTCGTCCCATAGTGGGCGAGATGGTATGTTCAGAAGTATGGAGGAGCTGTGTCGGTGGAGGTAGATGGTCGGAGGGCGGGAGGGAGGCCGATAGGAAGAAGTGGGGGAAACAAGAACGGTAGCGTAGTATTACGAGGGTCGGAAGGGTATAAGGGGTATATATTTCGAAGGAGGCGCAAATGGTGTGCTACTTGGGCGAGAATAAGGGTCGTTGGTGGTTGTTTATATTGTAGTCTAGGTAAGAGAGATAGTGAATGTCATGAGGCTCGTTGGGAGCTTGGAGATCTTGGTGCCACGTGCATTGATCATTCGCTCACCATTGGTGGTCACGTCATAACCCTCACCTCAGCTTCACCCTTCGATACCTTGGATACCCACTGATTGATCACCCTTCAGATCTAATATCTCATCGTGTCTTTTTGTGTTTTTCGAGTTCAATCGTCTTGCACATTCGAGGTCATATGGGAGAGCCAACCCTTCCTATATCTAGAATAGCCGAAAGACTCGGGTGTGGACTCTTATGATCAACTCCGAGTCAATTGATATTTAAATTCTCTTCCAGTCTCTACAATGTTGCTTCTCTATTCACTTGTTCTCATTCTTTTTCTCAATTCTATTGTTTCCTCTAAAATCTTTCATTTGGTCTCATATTCATACGTCTCCTCATTCGTATTGTATACCAAATCAATGTCAGTTAACCATGAATTACACATGTATGGGCGTGATCATATTTTTCCCCCTCTGCACTACCCCCTCAGAAAATGCATTGGTATTGTAAGTTTATATTCGGCGTCGCAATCAACGAGCCCACGGGCTTTAAATAGCCTGCAGTTTCGAACCCCCATGGATACCACGCCACATTGAGCCATGGACGGTTGATGCAAGATATAATAAACGCTATCCCCTTTTCAGCGAACCAACTCTATTTGCAGTATTCCATGATGCTTCTACAACTCCAACAGCAGAAATCTAGGATAATTGTAGCAGCGAGGGTCACAACCTCCATGGTATCAACTTCCTCAGGCCCTCCACCTTCTTTCTTCAAATATGTATCCTATCTACTATCTTGTCGCACAATTCACCAGCATCATTCTCGTGATTGGATTTACTCCATCAGTCCAATTCTCCGGATAGTTATACTCTTTCCAGTTATCTACTGTACGGTGCAATGTTTGTCGAGATCTATGCTATACATGATTCGGACTCCGTTGGCAGCTCTCGTAAGAGGTATCTGTGACATACCTATTCCACTATCTTGATGTTGCCCTTCGCAGTCGCTGAGCTTTGCTCAAGGCTCGCCAGTCAGTAATATCGTAAGGGCCTCTGTCAAACCTGAACGGGAAACACAAACCCTCTCGATCAGCAACCCAAACACTCTGCTACAGCAACTTTGCTTCGGACTGAAGGTGGCATCATATTTTCGCTTCATTGACACCCCCCTATCAAGTTAGAAACATTACCCCCATCTCATTAACCAAGCTGAAGGCTTTCATTCTGAGGATAGTCGGTGTAATCGTCATATCGTACCTAGCGTTGGGCATCGTTAACTCCCATAACGATCCGGACATCGTTTCGAAATACTTGACACTAGACGAATACCTTTCTTAGGCCGGTACAAGCAATCTTCGGTTAATGAATTCAGCATCCGCCTTTTTACAGTTTTGGCGGCAGGAACAGGCCTCGGTTGTGTATAAGGCGAATCTACTACATGGTTGCACTTAGTACAGTAATCTTCAGGATTTCTAAGCCTGCATAATGGCCCTGGTTTACGGATACTTCATTGAGGCGTGCGCACTCAAAACCTTTGAGAGTAAGCGCCCTCGCATGATATACTTCACTGAATCAGCCTAACTTGATGAAGCAAATTTTGGCACTAAAAACAAACACAACAAAGTTCTTTTCTATTGCTCATTATGCCGTACATCACTTGCTCAGAGTCCCACGTGGAACTACAATCGGTCGTTATCTACGAATTGTGGCCGCTTCATGTCTCCTGCAGCCTGCACTTTCTGATTGATCTTACATCTGGAATTTTGGTACGCAATTCCAGCGCAATCCACTTCTTTCTAACATAAATTTTTGAGTCATCCTCTAGTATGCGTTTATAAGACTCTATCGCTCACTCTACGGCACAGGGAAGGTCCCTGGCCGTCTAGGAAAAGCAATCGGGTTTATCTGGCTTGCACTGTTTCTCATATGGTTGGTCCACCCATATCTATCCGATGATGTAGCGTTCGAATCAGGGATTGAATGACTCTGTTATTCTATTCAATCTCTTCGGCGCGATTTTAGGAAGGAATGTGGTAATGACAAATGAACCGTTAGCTTGCAGAAACGCTAATGGTGGCTGCCATCCTCCGCGGGGCCTCTACAATTGTCTATTACTCTCAAATACCTGATAGATGGTTTATAGACAGTGCTAGGGATGTTTCAATTGCGAATCCTATATGTCGTTTATACGTATTTCCCAAACTCCACACTCTAGCGATATCTTTCTCAGTAGCACAGCCTCTCTCGTAGCACGGAGGACCCTAGCAGTCTTCTGAGTGCATCTAAGTCGTCCGATGATCATCCTCCCCTCCAAATCTCCAAAAGGAGTTTGGGTATACTTTTGAAAAGGAAAAAAATAAGTTGTGGAAGCGGAATGTCTAGGTTAGATCTGAACCTCCAGGTTGCTTTAATGAGAGTTAGCATTTTGCATGTTGCTTATTAACGATAATCTCTTTTAAAAACATATATGCCTTACCTATACATCCTTATGCTTATTTATGCTCTAGGATTACCAGACTATTCATGTCTTCCTGTCATAATTCGTCCTTATGTGTCATAGACTGATTACAGAGCAGAAAATGTTCTCCTAACCTGGAAAGTGGAGGAACTATTACCTAAAGCGACCCGCTTGTATGCATGTTATTTTGGGTACTTAAACTCTTAATTGACAACTCGCCATATCAACCAATCAACAATCTGATTAGTTCAGGTTGTGTAGTGTAGTGGTGATCACTCCGGATTTTGATTACTATTCAATCAACCTTCCGGCAACCCCGGTTCGAGCCCGGGCACGACCTTCCTTTTTGTCTTTTTAGGATTGCTGTTGAAGTTTTTGTCCTCTGTGAAGTGGGGGTCGTGGCGGAAGTTTTTTCATAGTGGGGAAGGTCTTGGCTTAGTATCGTCATTTCCGGGGTCTATTCTCACAACGTTTCTACGTACGCTCTACCACCACTTCTCAAATTGATTATCTCCTTTGAGTCTTTTTTCTTTTGTTTCTTAGATGCTGATTGTTTCAGACATTTCGTTGTTATTTCCTCGATTTCTGCTTATACGCAATTTAACCTTGAATTCACTCCCTTTATTTACAACATCGCAGCTTCATATCATTTTCTCTTTCTTTACACAAATTATCATCATATGTTGTACCAATTATTCCTGTCTGATATCCGCTATCTCTTTCACAGCTTGTTGAAATTTCTCGTCTTGAACCTGAGGAAGCCATTCCTCAACCTGCTTCATATCTGTTTCACTGATTCCGCCCTTCTGTCTGCACAATAGATGCACCGACGGGGAAGTAAAAAGCGATTTCTGCATAAACACCAGCATCCAGTCTCCATTACTAGGCCGCGAAGTAAAACACAAAATCTCCCATCTTGCATTTACGACCCGAAGAAGACCCTTTCCCTGCCAGTTGTATATTCCAACAGCGCCGTCCACAGATATATTTTTTCCATCCATAGATTTCACTGCGTCCGAGTTCATGGTTTGGTAGAATGCTCGATCGTCTACGTAGGATGCGGACTGCGTATAGCTAAGGCGGATATTTCGTTTGTCTTTCCAGAAGGCATTGGATGAGCGAATCATGTACCAATCGCCCAGGAACAATTCTTCAAGCGGCGCCTGGAATTCCGATGCCGACATAGGTTTTATTCCGGAGACATGCGATGGCGAGCGAAAATGCAGCCCGGTAGGATTCAGAGACATGGTGCAATCGAATTTAAGAACGATGTTCAAGACAGGACGCCAATAAACCAACCTGATGCCTCAGGTGCGAAATATGGTTGAATGGAAGTAAACAGAATGGCCAGGTGAACTTTCACCTTCCCGACTTTTAACTCGTACGCAGAACTAGAAAGCGGTGTTAAGAATGGCCCCCAACCCCCAACAGCTAGTGCTGCAATTGTCAGCCCCTGTACTCCATTTATATATCGCTTCCAGGGGTTTAACGATGCTGCGCCTCAGATCTGCTAACACATAAACCCCCGATTTGAACTCCGGTGCTATACGAATAGTCAGCCATCTAATAAAGATCCAGCAACACAATTAGCCGATATTGACTGCATGTAAGATAGTCTACTCCGACACGTTGTTATCGCACGCCCGTAAGCATGCATCCTGCAGGAAGGGTGAACTTTCCGCTTCAAATCTCATGGTGACCTACCTGCGCACAATTCCAGATGTTGAAATTCAGCATGTGATACATCAATGCAACCATGTAAATAGACCTTGCAATCGCCTTCATAAACATCTCGGAGTGTGAAGCTTGCTCTACTTTCTATCGAAGCTGACGCAAGATACTAAGAACTTCTTCTAGCACCTCGTCTCATCCCTTTATCAGCCCTCTAGTAGGACTGCTCGCGGAGATGGCCACTACTTTGTCCGGCTAAGATAACGGCACACCCAGCTCATCTACGCAATACATTTCATAGAACCGGAATTTACATTGTTGAATGAATGACTGCTCATAGCATCTGCCCTCCAAACCAGAGTTTCAGTCTCCTTCCCATTCAAGCGAAGATCGCTGCATTAGGAATAGCCGGCTCAAGCAAAGCCGTCTACACAATTCTTATGGCAAATATAAACGGCGAAGAAAGGGGCTGGAGATATCTTCCTCCCACTTCGCCATCGCGTGGCCGCCACATGTTCCAATCTCCCAACGGCTCCTCCCGCACCTATCTTGAGCTTTGGAAAGCAGCAGCGCTAGCTCCCGCTCCCCCAAATCTGAGCGCACTCTGCCCACATATCCCTTGTGTCGTCCCCGAATGCGCCCGCTCTCACATGGGCTGCTTACTAGCTAGAGTAAATTGAGAAAAAGGGTTTCTATTCGATAGGATTAAGAAAGCTACTTATTTAGGAAGGTTCGCTTGGGTTCGCTAGGTGGGTCAACGGCCACAATGGGAGGGCAGGTAGAGTAGAGATGGAGAAGAGAAAAGCCGCCCTAGGTAAGACATACCGTGAGAGTAAGCGTAGATGATTTAACGACTAATTTATCTGCCTCTTCCTTTAATAGGCTGCGTATTCTAATTTCACTCCCTTTTGCGGTTTTTTGCGTTCTGATGCTGCTTTTTTGCTTTGCAAGATATGCAACTCGAGCTGCCAGCAACACCTGTGGATACAGAATTGTCTCAGCACCCTTTTTGAGCTGATAAAACACTTGGATTATTTCAAAATATGAGGAGTTCTTATGCGTTCGAATCATATCACGAATTAGTGTTGATTCAGCCTCTATCTCATCGGCATTGCTTGGCATTTTGGGAGTCCATTCAATAGTCCGAAGTGCAGGAACTGTAGGAGTGCGAGGCTTCAATTCAAGCTTTGGCAACAACCTCTATGCTATGTAGGACTAAGCCCGTTTCTCTAAAGCTTATTCGATGTTTCTTTTTCAAAACGATAGGTCTAAGGCTTGCTTGAAGGAGTCCAGTGCTCAATGTGACTATTTGCCAGCCCTCTGATCCCTCTCCAATATGACCGCTCCAACAGCAAAAAACACTCAACGTCAAGCGGTTGTAGGATATGAAATGAGTATGGAGGGATCCAGAGAGTAATAATCTTGTTCCAGTCGCAGAGATCCTGGAAAGCAAGCTAATTGTGGCTCTCATAGCCATCAATAAGAAGAAGTTGATGGCTACCCACCTTCTTGCTCTTTGTATACTTAAATGCTTAATGAACTGCTTCAGCCAGACGATTACCAGCAGGATCTCGATTACCTTCTTCCGACTCTCTGGGGCCGTAACAACCTTTGTGCCTCCTGCAATGCCCATTATGAAGCTAGTCTTGTCAAAGTTGTAGGTACCCTCATCCAGTATTCCGTACTTCGCTTTAACATTCGGCCACCCCCGGGACTGATAACCTCTGGTTCACTGCCAAAGAATCTCTGACGATTGCGTTGTCGAGTCAAGTGGGATTTGAGCGCAGATTTGCGACTAACGGAGTTCCAGCCTATCTCTCTCCAACCCGGCCACCACTGCATATAGCGAGCAGGTGGTTAGCCATACCACACACACTAACTAGGGCAAGTGCAAACCTTCACACATCAAGCTTCCCTATATATTAGACAAACGTCTCCTCTCCATACTTTGTGAGGTTGGATAGATGAGACTGAGAATCGCCTCGTGGTATTGTTCTAGCGCGTCCTGGCTTGAAAGATATTTCAAATGATGTTATAGATTGCTGCAGCTCATTTTCGCTTAAAGAAGTCTTATCTTTCATTTATTGAATAACTAGGATGATCCTCTCCTCATAAGGGAGTAACTCAAGGGTGTCCCTAGGCTCGATTCCTTGCTTTATATACGATATTGTGCTACTTTATTCGCTATAATCTTTTAGTATGCTTCCTTTCCTTTAATAATTAAATCTAGAGGGACATTCCTCTAGAGTCGGGTTTGCTTTGCTCTAAGCATTTGATATTACGTGTTCATAGACCCGATTGGGAACCAGGTAGCACGT